CAAGTAGAACGATGCAAAATGCCCGGTTTTGTGTAAGCGTTTAGACATCAACTATTGGACAATATTCGCTCGGGGGTATGACCAGTACGCCCATACACCGTAAAACGTAGGCTAAAAAACAGCTAATTTTTATCTACCCTTTTTTGTGTACAAGGCAGGCAGTGACGGCAAACTGTCTATCATTTTGCAGCTTGCGTGTGCTTCACCAACGGTAGATCACCAATGCAAGATCCCTGCTATTCTTGTCGAATGCCAGAACTCCTGCATGGTAATAGCAGTACCGTTGTCTCGTATTGTTAAATCTGAACGAATTGACAAGGTCTAAAAATGACTTTATGTGGTAGCTACGGTCTCCGTAGCTTGTGGCAAACATGTTGTTTTTACTAAGCCCTTGTGCAATCTCCCAGCAGATACAGATGTGTCAATTATGTTGATTTTACTATTCATTTTGCGAAACCCTACCCTACGGGATATGTCGCATTGTTGCAGCCTATACTCCCTCATTTCAAAAGATGCCGTGCAGTGAAAAGCACGATTCGGACGACGCTGGAAACCGTGCCAGCAAGCGCCGGCGGGTAGGCACTGATGCTGCCTCTGTTCGTTGCGGCGGGTGCGGAGATGTGGTGTTGTTCAAAGAAGCATTGCGTGCGCTTCGTGGTGCTGGTTGGAAGGCAAAGCCACTGCCCCGACGCAGTCTTGACACACGTTACAAGTATGTTCGCCCAGGCGGAAACCCTGCAGGCGCAGAGGACGTTGACTACGTGCTGGGAGAAGGCGGTGTTGTTGCAGAGTACGTGAAAAGTGTAGCTGTACATGGGCGTGGTAGCGCAGCCGCCGCTGTAGGTTCCGGAGGAGATGGAATTGGTGACGACGAGACCGCTGGGTTTCGTGACGGCGTTGAGTCCGAGGGAAGCGGAGGTACTGGACTAAGTGAATATTGTGGCGGTGGTGATGGTGTATGTGGATCTGGTGTACGTGGGTCAGGCGATGGAGTTGGTAATGGTGCTGTCGGAGATTATGGTGATGGAGATAGTGCTGGTTGTGACGGCGACGATACCGTTGGATTACGTGGAGGAGAAGGTCGTCGTGGAGATGCCGGCAGCGTGTGCGCTGGTGGGGACGATGAACGAGGGAGTGCAGAAAGCGCTATCCGTGATAGTGTGCGTGTTGATGAAGCTCACAGGTGTGGGGGAAGAAGTGGTTTTGAATCGCTCGATGCTGCTGGAGTGGCTATGCAAGATGCTGTTGTCGTGAATGCTCAACAACAAGTGGAAGGGTCTGGTCGAGGTGGTGTCCAAGGACGAGGACGAGGTCGTGGCACTATGGCGGTAGAACCGGCTGGCCGTGGTCAAGGTCCGGGTAGAGGTCGGGGCCGTGATAGTGGTCGTGGTCGAGAGCGTCAGCGTGGGAGGTCAACGGAGTCTGATCAAGACGAGTCTGATGCCGGCTCAGGTGCTGAATCTGATGGTGGCGATGACACTTCAACACACAACGGGGAAGTCGTGCCAGACCGTCAGACACTGTGTCAGCTGTACACAAACACCCTCGTGGTCTTTTCACCTTCTCGTGAAAGGTGGATGACTCAAAAGAAGTACAAACACGTTGGAACGACCTATATTATCGGAAGAATATGTCGAGGCGTTCAAAAATCCAAACAAGCTCCGCTGCTATTCCAGCTCACATGGCTGGACACCCAGTTTCACAAGCACGCAGAAAGCATCACGGTTGACTTAGTCCAGAAGGGCCATCACAACTACAATCTACTTACACGTGAGCCGAACCAAATTGGATGGAGGTCACTTTGTGAGCAGGCAGATGACAATGCCATCGTCATCGACGG